GCTTCTCACTGAGAATGTGCTGTGTCCACTGTGCATGACCAGGGTCAAGGGAGGGCAGGCCGGGAGGAAGGCCCTAGGGAAGGTTCTGGAGCTGGTTCCTGTCCTCTAGGTTTTTGGAGAGTGGGGGAGGGGCGCAGACATACTTGTTTGTATATGTGGACACGCAGCAGGGGTGGGTGCGTGCTTCTGGTGACCAAGGCTGAAGGAGGCAGACCCAGGCGGGTAGATGGTGGTGTGGTCAGAACTCTTCCTGTGCCCCACGTGGCTGAAGGGATCCAGAGACCGGTTTCTTCTGATACCACATCTGCCCATACCCTTTCCTCTTTGAGACACCCACCCACGTGAAAGCTCTCTTTCCCATCACACCCTCCCTGGGCCTTGAGGAAGTTGATGGTCACTCACTGTCCCATCTGTGCCAGCTCAGGCCCGAGCACCCAGCTGCTCCCCCAGGCTTGTCCCTGTCTGCGCCGCCGCCTCCTCCCCCTCCCCCGCCGGTTGCGCCAACGCTGTCCTCTGGAGCCTGTTCAGGGCTGTCTGGGCCTAGGATTGAGAACTCCTTGTTTAATCAGAGCACTGAGTGAGGCAGCCAGTGGTGTCCCTGGACACATAAAAATCTCGCTGACCCGAGTGACACCCCCAAGCCTCCCACACCCTGTCTCAGGCAGCCTTCCGCAGCACTTCCGTAGCCCTGACAGGAAGTGGGCTGGAGGCTCAGCCTCCCACCATCTCGAGACAACTTCTCGTTTCCCTATTGCCCTGTGCCAGCCCCAGGGTTGTGCCCCTTGGCTCCACCCCAAAGCCTTCCCAGGGCTCCATCCCAGCAGCTCAGAGGGGACAGGATGGTGGACGTGATTGCCAAGCTGATCAGGAGGCAGAGTCAGGCCCTTCGGGGACAGGTACGGGAACTTGGCGTTGGGGCCTGAACTTGGCCTCTAATGGGGATAGTGGACGGGCCTCTGGCATCAAGGTGCTGGCAGTGGACCTCCATCCCCTGGCCCTGGCAGGAGCTGGGGGACCTGCGGGAGCTGGGGTTTGGAGCAGGCAGTCTCACGGAGCTTGGGAATCCTCCCTTCTTTCCTCCTCCAAGGCCTTGCCTGTCGGAGGGGCTGCAGAGGAGGCTGAGCGGTGCCGAGCTCTGGGGAAGAGAGGCTTGTGGGTGGGAATTCGAGACCAGGAACGACGCTGGGGGCTGGGAAGCTGCGTGTGGTGAGAGCTGGGCCCCTCTCAGCTCCTTCCTCTGGCCTGAGGTGGGAAGAAACTTCCTCTTTCCCACTAGGTGTCTCCTTGGTGCCCAGTCAGTCCCCTGTTGATGGGCTGCCTGGGTCTTGTCTGGGCCTCCAGGAGATGGGGGTCGGGGTGGTAGGCCCTGCTCTGACCTGGGCAAGCTCCCCCTTGAAGGCTAAAGGGCATGGAGGGACTGGCTCCACCTGGCTTCCAGGAGCTGGTCTGATCCGGCTGAGGCCCTGCCAGGAAAGGAAAGTACCTCTGACCTAGCACTGAGGGGATCTGTAGAGAGTTCTGGAGTTTGAAGGGGCCTCGGGGCTGCGGCAGTCCAGCTCCCTCACAGGACTGCCACATCCCTGGCAGGGGATGGGACTCTGCTTGCTCTCCTCCATTGAAGGCCCCTCGCTACCTCCTGGGGCAGCCCCAATCCAGAGAATGTGCCTCCTTCAAAGGGGCACTGCCCTGCCCCCATTTAACTCTGATCTGAAGTCTGGAGCCCCACAGTGTGATCTGGCATCTTCTCTTCCTTGCGACAGCCCTATCATGCTGGAGGCCTGAACTTCTACCTCCCAGGTCTCCTCTGTACCTGCTGGACGAGTTCCCTGTGCAAGATTCCCATTAGCCCAACCAGCCTGGGGTTCCCCATGGGCTCAGAGCCAAGGCCAGCAGCCTGGCCAGATGGAAATCCCTGCTCCAAAGAGCATGGCTCCTTCCTTGGCTGGTCCACTGCCCATGCGCCCTTCCAGCCCCTGTCCCAGGGCTAGCTGGGATACATTAGTGTGTCTGGTCACCCACCTTCCTCTACTGCCTCCATCCTGTCATCCCCAAGGGTCTCCTGTGCTTGAACCCCCATTTTTAGGAAGTTCTTGCTCCAAGCTAACCCCAGCCTCTCCTGTGGTGTCAGGTGTGTTTGTTTGTTCATTGCTGAAGTCCGGCATGGAAGTGACTTGTGTACTCAAGCAGTAAGAGCTTTGGGTGGGTCTTCATTGGACCACCTGCTGGGGGGTGACTGGGGTCAGTTACATCACCGTGAGTCTTGCTGTCAAGAAACTCCTGCCTTTTAGGGGCAGAGAAGGTACACAGATGGGTGGACAATAAACTGACCACCAAGACAGAATGCCATCAGGCCCCAACAGAGCCGAGTGACCGCAGGTTGGACTCTTCTCTGGAGGGAGAGGGCCTGGCCCAGGTGAGGCCTGTGAGCTGAGCTCCAGGGGAGGAGCAGGACTTGGGTAGGCAGGGTAGGGAATGAGAGAAGGGAGTTCCAGGCTGAGGGCATGGCTGGAGCAGAGGCACGGAGCCTTTGTGTTTGGGAGCTGGCATGGTTGGAGTGCAGGATGCCACAGCTGTAATGGTGGAGGAAAAAGAGAAGTGGGTGGAGGGTCGTCTCAGCCACACAGGACTTGTGGGTTGAGGGAAAGGAGTGAGGAACTGAGGGACAGGTGTACCCAGCTCTCCCTGCCCCCTCCATGCCTAGGACCTGCCACCCTGTGTAAAACTGCCACACCCCCTTCTTTGGCAGAGTTTTTTGTTTTTTTGTTAGTAGCAACCATCATTGACACTGCATTCATTTATCGCCCTGCTTCCTCCCGCTCCCCCACCATGTGCACACATGTGCAGGCTGCCAGGGCAGGGGTCTGTGTCCATTTCTTCACTGTTGCACTCCTGCGCCTGGTGCAGAGCAGGGGTCTCTGTTGGACAGATGAGTATTTTTGTAGGCGCCTGTCTAAGGCTCAGGGAGAGGCCACCTTGACAGGACATGTTTCCCCTCTTGAGGAGTTTACAGCTTAGTGAAGGTGTCGCAGCAACAGAAACATCTATGACTTAAAAAAAAGGTATTTTGTCCGGCTGGTGTGGCTCAGTGGTTGAGCGTTGACCCATGCACCAAGAGGTCATCAGTTCGACTCCCGATCAGGACACATGCCCAGGTTGTGGGCCAAATCCCCAGTGAGGGCCATGCAGGAGGCAGCCAATCAATGTTCTCTCTCATCGATGTTTTTGTCTCTCTCTCCCTCTCACTTCCTCTCTCTGTAAAATCAATAAAGGGAATAAAAAGGTATTTTGGCCCTGATTGGGTGGCTTAGTTGGTTGGAGCGTCATCCTATACCCCAAAAGTTTTCAGGTTTGATTCCCAGTCAGGGCACATACCTAGGTTGGGAGTTCAATCCTGGTGCGGACATGTACAAGAGGTAACCTGTTTCACATCGATGACCCTCTCTCTCTCCCTCTCTTTTTTACTCTCTCTCTCTCCCTTCCTCTATCTAAACATATCCTCATCCTCAGGTGAAGATATTTTTATTTATTTTATTTTTTTAATTTTATTTTTTTATTCTCACCGAGGACATTTTTTCTTTCTTTTTTTGTTTGTTCAGATAGAGTGGGAGGGAGAGAGAGAAACATCGACGTGAAAGGCCCACATCGAGTGGTTGCCACCCGCACAACCAACCAGGGCCGGTGACAAACTGCAACCGAGGTACATGCCCTTAGCGGAAACCGAACCCAGGTCTCTCTGGACCGCAGGCCGACGCTCTAACCACTGAGCCAAACTGGCCAGGGTGGGTGAAGATTTTTTTTTAAACATTTTACAAAATGTTTAGGCTACAGAAAAGCTTAAAGCAAAAAACTAAACAAGACAAATTCAGTCCCTATAATTATACTTCTGTTAGCATTTTGGAGAGTTTCTAAAAACAATATTGGAGTTATGCTAAGTTTACCGTCTTGAACTCTTCTTTCCTTTGTAGCATTCTGTATTCTTAGAAAACAGTATTAATCTCCATGTACTCTCTGCTGCCTGGGGTTTGCCAGTGTAGCTCTCTATCCCTCTGGTGGGCTGTGGTGGGCACACAGGAGAAATCTTGGGAAACATCTTGAACCTGAAACCTGAGCTGAGTCCTAAAGGTCTAGGAGTCAGCCAGGTGAGAACGGGGTCCGGATGGGCTTGGGTGGCCAGTGAATGAGCCCAGGCCTGTAGGTCACACAGCAGAGAGGGTGGGGGCGGTGCTACTGGAACTTAAAGTTCAAGTTCAGGGGCAAGGAGTGGCAGGAAATAAAGTAAAAGACAGGCAGGTGATGGGTGGCCTCTGGTGTCCCGGTAAAGGTTTAGACTTTGCCCTGCAGGCTGCAGGGAGCCTTAAGGGTGTTAAGCAAAACCAGGTTTATACTCTGTGTGGCTGAATCCTCCAGCCCACCTCTTTCCTTTGAGGGGTGGGAGAAGGGGCTGGCCTTTCTTTGCCCCTCCTTCCTCCCTCCCACAGGGCTCTCCACTGTGTTTTTTGTGTCTGGTGTTGATTCAGAGGCTTGCAAACTCCACTTCCAGGAAGCTCTGGCCCCACATCCAAGGGCAGTACTGATCCTGGTCCCAGAGCTTTCCCGGGCGGGAAGAAAGGGTGAGACTGTAGAATACAGCAAAGCCCTGGCCACATGTGACCCGAATGGGGCAGAGAAGGGCTGGGTCCCAGGCCATTTCTCTGTTCCTGCCCAACCTTTGATTTCCCTGCCGTGAGTGCACAGCTGGAAGAATTCCGTTATCAGTATTTTATTAATAAATAATTCATGTAATTGTCCCACCTTATCTGGGGCATTTCATACATTACAAAGCACTTTCCAGAACATTTTCTCATTCTCTCCACTACAATTGCCAAACCGAGGGCAGATATTTTACAGCTGGGGGAACTGAGGCAAGGAGGTGCTGGGACTTGCTGAAGGTCGCCCAGGTGACAGGTGGCCTAGTCAGGACTGTGTGACCCGGAGCTGACCTGTGTCCCTCCTTCGCACAGGTGGACCAAGCCCCCGAGCCCGTGTACGCGAACGTAGAGAGACAGCCTCCGGCCACTTCCCCTGGGGCCACTGTGGCTCCCCGCCCGCAGCCGCAGCCGGTGTGGGAGACGCACACGGACGCGGACACCGGGCGGCCCTACTACTACAACCCAGACACCGGCGTGACCACCTGGGAGTCGCCTTTCGAGGCTGCCGAAGGCCCCGCCAGCCCGGCCACCTCCCGGTCCTCGGTGGGCAGCCGCGAGAGCCTCGAGACTGAGTGGGGCCAGTACTGGGACGAGGAGAGCCGCAGGGTGTTCTTCTACAACACGCTGACGGGCGACACTGTCTGGGAGGACGAGACGGAGGACGAGCCGGAGGACGTGGATGACCTGAAGATGCAGCCAGGCCTGAGCCCCAGCAGCCCCAAGGACCAGAGGGTGAGGGCGGGGCCTGATGGGGGGGGCGGGGCTGGCTCTGAGGGCCTCTGACCCAGTCTTTTCCTCCCCCTTCAGCCTCCCACTCCCGAGACCGACTACCCCGAGTTACTGACCAGTTACCCCGAGGAGGACTATTCCCCGCCCGGCTCTCCCTTAGCCACGCCCCGCGGCTGGTCTTGCCACGTGGACCCGGAGGGGCAAACGCTCTACACCAACCAGTTTACCCAAGAGCAGGTAGGGGAAACACACAGGTGGGCCTGGGGAGCCTTGGGGACACGGCTCCAACCCTTCCTCACTAGTAGCTTCCCCAACACCGAAGTGCAGCTCCTGCTCTGGCTCGGAGCCAGCTCAGGACACTGTGTCACCTGCACCTGTCCCTCCTGACTCCTTGGGTCTGTGTTGGGCCCTGGTGAGAGGGAACCTTTCCCTCCCCCCTCATGAGGGCCACCTGGCAGTCCTGACCTTCCCTCCCCCCACAGTGGGTGAAGCTAGAGGACCACGGGAAGCCCTACTTCTACAACCCAAATGACGCCTCTGTTCGGTGGCATCTGCCCCAGGTAACCAGCTGGGGAAGGGAGAGTCCTGGGAAGAGAGGAGAGGATTATGTATGACGTGTCTTTCTCCCCAGGTCCCGGTTCCTGCCCCACGAAGTATCCGCAAATCCAGCCAGGACAGTGCGACCCCAGCCCAGGCCAGCCCCCCTGAGGAGAAAGTAAGGGAAGGGACATGTAGGCCCTGATAGGACCCCACAGAAGACTGAGGGAGTTCTGGAGGTCCTGGGGTCTGGAACTGGGCCAGGGACCCCCATAGGCCCCAGCACTAGCCTGGGCTGAATGAACCTGGATCTGGGTCATCCTAGGCCCAGAGTTCAGTGAGATTGGGAGCTGGGAGGAAATCTCTGCTGCTGCTGCTGTGGGAGCAAGTGCCCCGCCGCCAGCAAGAGCAGAGAGGGTCCGGTAGAGATCCAGGCCCAGCCTGTGGGGCATTGCTGGCTGAGGGGGAGACTACCATCTATCCACTGTGGCTCACCCCCTTAACTGCCTCCTGTTTCCCCTTCTCTCTCGAAGATCAAGACCCTGGACAAGGCAGGCGTGCTGCATCGCACCAAGACGGTGGACAAGGGAAAGCGGGTCCGGTGAGAGCCCGACAGCAGGGCGGGGTGGGCCTTAGTGACGATGTTCACTGAGCACTTCCCCTGTGCCAGGCTCTGTTAATCCTCATAGCAACTTTATAAGGGGTTCTGTGAGGACACTGAGGCATGGAGAGATAAAGAGAGTCGGCCTCTAACAGTTGGGAACCCCAAATTGTGTTCTTAAGTTCTGAGCCCTGCTCCTAGGGATGGGAAGGGGGCCTCAGCCCAGGGCCAGATCTAAGCTCTGCCACCCCCCACTCCTAGGAAGAAGCACTGGAGCTCCTCCTGGACGGTGCTGGAAGGCGGCGTCCTGACGTTCTTCAAGGACTCGAAGACCTCAACTGCAGTTGGCTTGGTGAGGCCCAGGCCCCGAAGGCAGGATCACCCCATCTGCTCCTGACTTGGGTGGTCTTTACCTGATTCGGCTTGTCAAAGGCCAGGTCTGAAACAGTGAAACATGAATGTCCAGGGAGCTGGGCCTTTGGCAGGGGGTGACAACAATAGATTCACCCCCAGGACCGGCACTTGCAGCCACCCTGGGCATGGGGAGCTGTCCCTGAGGGCGGACAGCTCCAGCCTGGTGGGCAGGCAGCTGGGGACTGGGTGTCTTCCTTGTAGAGTTTGGGGCTGCACACCTTCCTCCTTTCCTCTCCTGGTGGACAGGCAGCAAAGGACCAGCCAGCTCACAGGTTCTGTGGTTAAGAAGAACCAGAATCTCTGGGTTCCAGAAAGCCCTGGGCCCCTTTCCTCCAGAGCTGTGACCCCATCCTGCCACTAGGGAGCCTGGTGGAATGGAGCCAGGGTACTGTGGCCTGTCCAAGCTGAAGGCTCCCTCGCTCTTCCTCCCTCTCCCACAGAGGCAGCCTTCTAAGCTCTCTACCCCCGAGTACACAGTGGAGCTGAAGGGGGCTTCTCTTGCCTGGGCCCCCAAAGACAAATCCAGCAAGAAGAATGTGCTGGAGGTGAGTTGTGGGGGTGGGGAGGAAGAGGGGGCTTACTGATGGTTTGGGATTCAAACAAGGCAAACCCCAAGAAGGGGAACCTAGGGAGAGTTGGGGCTGGAATTCTCAGGGCTCAAAGCCAAAGGTGTCCTCATCTCAGGGATCCATCCACAGTCTTTCTGGCATCATAGAGTCTGCAGTTTCCTCTCCAGAAGCTGAGTTCACCATTCCTTGGCCCTGGAGGGTGATGAGAAGTAGGGGTCTCTGGGGGACAAAATTCTGTCATGACCAGAAAGGCAGCCTTAAGCCCAGCTTCTCTGGCCTGAGACAGACAGGAGGCTCCCCACTCCTGGCCACTTACTCTGACAGGTTGGGAAACTTGCTCTGACTGGTGAGAGCTCAGCTTCCAACTGGACTGGGTCCACAGAAAATAAACCAGGGCAGTGGACACATTTCTCAGCCTCCCCAGCAGGAAGAAAGGGTCCAGGTGGGGCCCAGGCAAGGACCCTCAGAGTGTCACACCCTACAGTGTCCTTGTGTTGTCTTGTTTTTAAACTACTTTTACTCTCACCTTCGTCCCCAAAAGTTTTGAGGCACCTCACAACAAAAACACATATGGTGTGCTGGCAAAATCCACTGAAAAGGCAGGGCCAGGCCAAACAAGCTGGGGGAGGGGGTCACAGGGGAGAGGGATCAGGGGGCAGAGAAGTGCAGGTGCTGAGGCTATTGTTGCTAAAAACATTAGCTCGAAGTGTCCCGGTAGGCAAAGCACAAAGAGAAGGGCAATCAGTTGTATGGCTCTTATTACTGGTTGGGGGGAGGGGTGCTTTCCCAGATTTTAGGGAAATCAAAGCTTTTTTCTAATCCTTAGCTCTTGAAGAAAGTTTTAGTGTGCAGCTCCATTCTAGTTTAGTAAGGGACTCTTGGGTCTGCTCTGGGTAACATTATGAAAGCCAAAAGCACAACCTTATATCTCAGCGCAGAAAAGGTAATTCTGCAAGGAGCTGACAGTGTCGTTTTCTGATGAGCAGGGTTGGAAAACTGGTTTCATCACAGGAGCTACTCCGATCAGTAGGTCTGGAGTCTTCTCCAGGCTTAGCAGGGTAGAATGCTGTGATCAACTAGCAATGTCTGCCATGACTGTCACATTGAGGAGGGACATCGATTTTGCTGGGCATGCTCTTTCTCTGACCAAGAAGGACATCCTTCAACCAGTGCTCTATAAATGTCACCTCTCTGAGTGGGTTTTTAATGAAACTTTCAGAGTAAACCCTCTGAGTTGTCTTTTCTGGCAAGATCTAGGAGGCAGATGGTGCTCTTGGAAGCTACTCAAGCTGAGGGGAAGGCTGACAGTCTTGAGTGGAAGTCGAGGAGCCCCTGCTTCCCAGCACGCAGGTGGCCGTCCTCCCTCCATTCAGGGGCAGCCTACAGGCAACTCTAGGATTTTTCTCAAGAGATACTCCTCCCAGCCCTGGCCAGTTTGGCTCAGTGGTTAGAGCGTTGGCCTGTTGTCCAGAGAGACCCGGGTTCAGTTCCCGCTAAGGGCATATAACTTGGTTGCAGTTTGTCCCCAGCCCTGGTTGGGTTGTGCGGGTGGCAGCCACTCGATGTGTCCCCTTCACATCAATGTTTCTCTCTCTCTCTCTTCCTCTCTCTCCCTCTCACTCTATCTGAACAAAAAACAAAAAAAATGTCCTCAGGTGAGGATTAATAATAATAATAATAATAATAATAATAATAAAGAGATACTCCTCCCAATTCAGTGTCATGGCCAGATTAGTTGGGCCTGGCAAAATTACACAGCAGTTCTTCCTAGTCACCCCAGAGCCACAGAAAATTTCAGTAACAGGGTTCCAAAAACAGCTGGTTCAGGGCAGCTCCTGTCCATTTAACAGGATGAATGTTTTGTGAACTATATTGCTCTGTAACTGTGCAGCTTTGCCTTCTGTATGAAGTGTTCAAATATGAACTGATTATGTTTTGAGACAGTTGTCAAAAATAGTGGTTGTTTAGAAGTGTCGTTAGACCGTTCTCTGAGATAATAGAGGCAGGGCTCTGTGAGCTTAGAGTCGGGCTCTGCTACCTGCCTGCCGAAGGGTCTCTGGTCTGTGGGGATGAGGGTGGGGGTGAAACACGCAGATTTTTTCTTCCTTCTTTTTAATTTTAAAAAATTTATTTGAGAGAGAGGGAGAGAGAGAAACACTGATATGAGAGAGAAACATCCATCAGTTGCCTCCGGTCCCCAGTTGCCTCCTGCACATGCTTTGGCTGGGGGTTGAATCCGCAACCTGGGTATGTGCCCTGACCAGGAATCAAACCTGCCACCCTTTTTTTTTTATTATTATTATTTTTATCCTCACCCGAGGACATTTTTCCATTTTTTGTTCAGGTAGAGTGGGAGGGAGAGAGAGGAAGAGAGAGAGAGAGAAACATCGATGTGAAGGGACACATCGAGTGGCTGCCACCCGCACGACCGACCAGGGCCGGGGACAAACTGCAACCGAGGTACGTGCCCTTAGCGGGAACCGAACCCGGGTCTCTCAGGACCGCAGGCCGACGCTCTAACCGCTGAGCCAAACCGGCCAGGGCGCTGCCACCCTTTTTTAAAAAAAACTATTTAAATAGCATTCAGACCCTGACTGTGTAGCTCAGTTGGTTAGAGAGCATCATCCCAGTATGATGTAGGTTCAATCCCTGGTCAGGGCACATACAAGAATCAACCAATGAATGCATAAATAAGTGAAATAACAAATTGATGTTTTTCTCTTTTTCTCTCTTCCTCTCAAAAATCAATAAAAATAAGTAAATAGTATTCATGTCGAAGTTTAAAAGGTGGGCAGCCAAAAGACAGCTCTTTCTGATTCTGGAAGTTGTACCCTGTTGTCTGAGACAGTGGCTGCTGACTCTGACTCACTGGACCCAAGGGCCAGGGTTGGTGTGAGCTTCTAAAAGCAGTCATTTACATTAACCTTGAATGCTTAGTCCTCAGAGCCACAGGCTGATGAGAGATCTATCCAAGTTTCTGACCACCTCACCCTGTCCTAAGGAGATTTGTTAGGGAATAAGGACACTCAACAAAAGTCAGTTTGAAGAACAGCCAGGGACCCCCTGGCATTGGGCAAGGAGACACCTGATTGGTGATGTTGCTCTTATATCAATCAGGGGCAAAGCAGATGTATAGTTCTTAGTTCATCCTAGCTTGATGCCTGTGTTGGTAGCCAGAGCTGTTTCATGCCTGAGGCACATTAAAAAAAGAAAAACAGCCCTGGCCGGTTTGGCTCAGCGGTTAGAGCGTTGGCCTGCGGTACAGAGAGACCCGGGTTTGGTTCCCGCTAAGGGCATGTACCTTGGTTGCAGTTTGTCCCCGGCCCTGGTTGGTCGTGCGGGTGGCAGCCACTCGATGTGTCCCTTCACATCGATGTTTCTCTCTCTCTCTCTCTCTTCCTCTCTCTCCCTCCCGCTCTATCTGAACAAAAAAATAAATAAAAAAAAAAAAAAAGAAAGAAAGAAAAACAAACAAACAGCCTGGGCTGTTGATATCTGCTTACTCCTCAATAATATAAAATAGTGGTTTTGGAAATCCAGACTTCGGGGCTCCATAAAGAAGAACATGGCCTGTGGTCAGGATGGAGCATCCAGCAGACTTATAGCGCATTGCTTCCTCTAGTTCACAGACCTCTCCAAACCATATATGCATTTCCTCGGAATGAATGAGTAAGTGGGCTGCTACCCCCCACAGCCTGCTAGTCAGAAAGAGTTTTGAGTAGTCAGAACGTTTTTCCCCTTAAGCATGTTTATTTTATTTTATTTTATTTTATCCTCACCCGAGGATATTTTTCCATTTTTTGTACAGATAGAGTGGGAGAGAGAGAGAGAGAGAGAGAGAGACATCGACGTGAAGGGACACATCGAGTGGCTGCCACCCGCACGACCAACCAGGGCCGGGGACAAACTGTAACCGAAGTACGTGCCCTTAGCGGGAACCGAACCCGGGTCTCTCCGGACCGCAGGCCGACACTCTAACCGCTGAGCCAAACTGGCCAGGGCTCCCCTTAAGCATGTTTAATTTTCGCTTCTTGAAGCAGGCTGTAAGCTGTGTTACCCAGGCTGGAGGGTGGGATGGGTGGGACAGGGTGGACTCGAGGCTGCAAAAGGAGTACAACACTCCTAGGTCCCCAGTGTGCATGGGTGGGGGGGGGGGCAGGGGGGCTTTTTTCTCTGAGATCAGCCATGATCTGCTTTTAGAGCCTTTCTCCCAGCATTTTCTTCACCGTGAATTCTAGTGACCAGGGGCCTCCACAGGGAATTTCTTTCACTGACTTACTTGCTGGCCAGTGCTCTGAGTGAGGCCTGCCGTGTTCTATGGCCCATGGGGAGGCGGGCTGGGGCAGGGGAAAGTGTACTAGACAGTTGAGCCATGCAGATGTGCTTCACTCAGATCCTTCCTCCATCACTCAATAAGAAATGGCTTAAACTCGCTGAGCCTGTTTGCTTATCTAACGCAGAGATGCTGTCACCTACTGCTTTTAATGAGGTGGAATACCTTGGTCTGGGGTGCAGCCCTTACTTCATTAGGCTCTGGGTTCTTGGGGACAGGGACGGACCCAGGAAACCAGAGATGACTGAGTGGCTTGTGTTTCTCCAGCTGCGGAGCCGAGATGGCTCAGAGTACCTGATCCAGCATGACTCTGAGGCCATCATCAGCACCTGGCACAAGGCCATTGCCCAGGGGATCCAGGAACTGGTAGGCAGAGCCTGGGGCCTCCAGGGCTGGTGGGGAGGGGATAGCCAGCCATTCTGCAGGGCAGTTGTGCCCACTGTGGATGGGGTCCTCTACTCAGGCACTGGGAGCTCCATGGCACCAATGGGTAGTCACCCACCCTGAGATACAGCCCCACCACCACCACCCACCCCTACCCTTATGGCTGGACAGCAGGAGGGCTGCTAAAGAAACAGCCTTTCTTACTTATGTGGACCAGCCTCGGGTTGGCCCTGCAGGAGTGTTCTCCAGGTAGGGGTGGAGGCACATCCTAGAGGAATGTGCCATTTTAAGGGAGGTAGAAGGCAAAGAAAATATCTGAGAAATAGCCTCGGCCTGGAATGGCAGGCTGAAACTAGGCGATCAAGTTTTAAAGGGCTGAATAGAAGAGTCTACCATTTTTTAGGTTCAAAATATCAATTTTGATATTTTAAGTAGAGATGGCACAGGTCCCCTCTGACAGCTATTCACCTGGAAACAACCTGAGGGTTTTTGCTCCTTGATTCCCTAGGGCCCAACACTGGGTGCATCATTTGGCTGTATTACTAGAGGTAGGAATCTGATCCAGGGAGGTGATGCTGGTGTGGTTGTTGGCTCAGGCCCCAGCCAGTACTGCAAGCTCAGAACAGGGAGCCACATACTGAGGAATGCTGATCTAGGGGAGTGTGTACAGAGTTGCTGAGGAAAATATGGACAAAGGGGGGGGGGGGCAGGGACTGGGAGATGGGTAGGGCAGAACAGGATGACTGTCTCCCAGCATCTGAAGAGCTCCATGTAGGAAGGTGAATGTTCTGAGCTTCCCCGGTGGAGGTGAGGGGAGTTAACCCGATTAAAGGAAGAGTGAATTCTGAGGGGGTGGGGTCACCAGGCCTGCTGGCCAAGCACTAGAGCCCTTCATCCTGCCTGAGAAGGACGCTCAGCTGGCCCCAGGCTCTGCCTCTGAGCCTTGGGATTCTAGTCTACAGAACTGCCCCCGGAGGAGGAAAGCGAGAACAGCAGCCTGGACTTCGGGTCCAGCGAGCGCCTGGGAAGCTGGCGGGAGGATGAGGCGCGGCCGGGAGCAGGTGTGTGCAGGGATGGAGAGGTGGAGGGGTGGCGGGAATCTTTCAGGGGAGGAGGGTGGCGACCCTGATGGGGCCTGCTGGGCCACCCTGGCGCCATCGACTAGCCCCTGCATTCCCTGCAGCAGCCGCTCCTGTCCTGAGCCCTGGGGTGCAGGAGAGTGACTTGAGCAAGGTCCGGCAAAAGCTCCGCAAGTTCCTGCTCAGGCGGCCCACGATGCAGTCGCTGCGGGAGAAGGGCTACATCAAAGGTACCAGAGGGTCCCGGAGAGCGGGACGCCGGTAGCTCCGGGGAGGGCGGCGCTGACGAGCCTCTCCCCCAGACCAGGTGTTCGGCTGCGCGCTGGCTACGCTGTGCGAGCGCGAGAGGAGCCCGGTGCCGCGCTTTGTGCAGCAGTGCATCCGAGCCGTCGAGGCCCGCGGTACGTGCGCGCAGTCTAGTGGGGTGGGCGGGGGCATGGGTGCGGGGTCGAGAGGGAAAGCCTGGGAGCTCCTGAGAAGGAATGGTAGCAGGGGTTAGCCCCATCCCACCTAACCCGGGGTCAGCGCCTCCCTCTCTTCAGGACTGGACATTGACGGGCTGTACCGCATCAGTGGAAACCTCGCCACCATCCAGAAGCTGCGTTATAGGGTGGACCACGGTGAGGCTCATCCCCAGTCCCTGCCCCAGGGCCTGAAGGCTTGAAGGGCTGCTGATCTTCCTCCCTCCCTCCCCCCCTGCCTCAGATGAGCATCTCGACCTGGACGACGGACGCTGGGAGGACGTTCACGTTATTACCGGCGCCCTGAAGCTCTTCTTTAGAGAGCTACCTGAGCCCCTCTTCCCCTTCTCGCACTTCCGCCAGTTCATCACGGCCATCAGTGAGTGCCCGGGAAGGTAGAAGGGTTGAGGGGGGAGCAGCCTGGGGCAGGACCCCCCCCCCCACACACACACACACACAAGCACACACACACTGGGAGTTAGCCCCGTCGGCCCCCTCCCTGAGCCCGCCCTTGCCTTCCCTAGAGCTGCAAGACCCGGCCCAGCGCAGCCGCTGTGTGCGTGACCTGGTGCGCTCGCTGCCCGCCCCCAACCATGACACGCTGCGACTGCTCTTCCAGCACCTGTGCAGGTGAGCGCGGGCCTCGGGAGTGGGGACCCCCAGCTCCGCTAGCTCGGGGCCCTGATTACACTCCGCCCCACCCCCGCTGCAGGGTGATTGAGTACGGCGAACAGAACCGCATGTCCGTGCAGAGCGTGGCCATAGTTTTCGGGCCCACGCTGCTGCGGCCCGAGACGGAGGAGACCAGTATGCCCATGACCATGGTGTTCCAGAACCAGGTGGTGGAGCTCATCCTGCAGCAGTGCTCAGATATCTTCCCACCGCACTGACCCCACTGCGGGCACTGAGGACCTGGAACTGGGGTTGGCGACGTTGGTCCTGCTGCGGGGCTGGACTCTAATTCTGAGACCCTCCACCTCCCACTAGCCCGCAGGTCGCGGGGAATTCTGCACTCCTCGGTTCTGAGGGTATGGTAACCTTTGGTGGGCAGTTCACAAAAGGTGATTTCCCGCCTCACCTGTCTTGTTTTGGGGTTAATTGGGTTCTGTTCTTTATTACAGCGACACCTACTGTGCGTGTGTGAGAATGTAGAGGGGGCGGTGAGGGTTGTTTTCTGGGATGGCCCAAGCCCCATGCTGGGAAGAGGAATTTGGGTGAGGGCAACTTGGCTTCTTCAGGCTTGAAGCCTTAACAGAGACCCTGTGGGCTGGCACTGTGCCCATCGTGAAGCAACGTCCCTGCTGCGAAACAGTACTGACCTGGGCCTCCAGCAAGGGCATCTGAACCTGCCTTCCCTCAGGCCTCACTGGAACTTCTGCCCAGCCCTCTCACTGGCTGGCTGGGACAATTTTCATCTGCTTTCTTGTTTGGGGTTCCCGGACTCTGCCTTCCTTGACCCATTTGTGCTTTGTGCAAGGGTTCTTCCTATTTACAAGGGTTCTTCCTAAATGTGTACCTGGCACCTGCCACCTGACATGCACCCCCATTTCCACATGATCCCATTTTGCAGATGAGGAAACTGAGGCTTGCAGAGGCAACATGACTTGTTCAGGGTCCATTGGGTGATCTTACTCCCCACCTTAAGCTCCTCTTACACCAAAGCACAGCCTAATGGGAGGGTAAAATCTATCCTTTCAGCTACACCCCAACCACAGCAAGGGCTTATGGGTAAAGCAAAAGAAACTAGGCTGGGTGGGTTCTGTCTGAGCCTGGGAAGGTACCTAAAGGTGAAGAGGAAACCTGCTCAGCTGTTTTCCCCGGGGGGAGGGTAAATTGCATTAGCAGGAGCCCCAGCCCCTCTCAGCACCTGGCTGTCAAGTATGCCTACCTGGTGGCCACTTGTGCTATAGAGCTGGGAGAGGCCTGCGGGGTGGGGGAAGGAGGGCAAAACCTCAATAAAAGAAGTGTGGACCCTGGGGTCAGCAGCCCCCCTTCCCTCATACACAAACCACCTCAGTTTATGGGTCCTCAGCCCCTAACCCATCCACCCCTTCATTTATTCAACAAGCAATAATAGCTAATATTTATTGACATTTGCACCATGCCAAGCATTTTACTTGGATTATCCTGTTTGTTTCTCACAGCCAGTATTTATTATCTGCTCTTCTGTGCCAGACACTGCTCTGGAGCAGGGGTACTGCACATTGCCTCCCTGGTGGAGCTTATGGTCCTGTGGGTGAGGCTGACCCAAGCCCATATCTAATGCCAGCGGGGCTTAGGCAAGAGGGCAAATGGAGGCCACATATGTCGAAATACTGTAAAGTTATAAATCAAGCTAACAACTGTTCAATAAAAGATGTACTGTTCTACTTTGACAAATACACTTTCATACTGACTTGGAAGGCCAGGTTGTAATGTAAACTTTGATTTTTTTTTTTTTTTTTAAGATAGAGTGTAAGGATGGGAGGGAGGGGGAACAAGAGAAAGAGAGAGAGAGAGCAAAACGTTGATGTGAGAGAGACACATTGATTGGTTGCCTCCCAAATGACCTTGACTAGGGCTGGGGATCGAACCTGCAACCCAGGTACGTGTCCTTGACTGGGAATCAAACCCAAGACCCTTTGGTCTGCAGGCCGACACTCTAACCTCTGAGCCAAACCAGCCAGGGCTCTAATGTAAATTTTGACTCTCCAAACTCCAAAATGTGGTGGCCTGAGAAGAACTGGCTCTACTCTCAGCTTGCCCCCGTATCTTCCCACCCAAAGGCCCATCCTGCCCCAAGGAGGAGTTCACATGCACAAATGTGGACACTCTGATCCATGTGTGCAAACTGCCATACCCCTGCAACCTACTTCCCCTTGGCCATCCCACCTGGTCCACCCTTGAGGAGTGTCCACCCTTGGCCCAGGTATTTTGGGGTCCCATGTATCAGGACTATGGGCCAAGGCTCTAAGAGAGCCCCACAGATTCCTCATCCTGTGGGCAGAAGCAGAGCAAAGGTCCAGAGTAGGGGGACCCATGGCAGGTCAGAAACCCCCTCATCCAGGTCCCACATTCAGAACTTGATATATATATTTTGTTTGTTTGTTTGTTTGTTTGTTTGTTTTCAGAGAAAGGAAGGGAGAGAGAGATAGAAACATCGATGAGAGAGAACATCGATTGGCCGCCTCCTGCACGTCCCCCACTGGTGATTGGGACCACAACCTGGGCATGTGCCCTGACCAGGAATCAAACCAGTGATCGCTTGGTGCGTGGGTAGATGCTCAACCACTGAGCCGCACCGGCCAGGCAGAACTTGACATATATTAAACACCTGATTGGTTGTTTGACTACGTTTGTATAAAAGCTAGGACAAAGCACAGGGTGTTCTGAAGCTGTGCCACTGGGGTGTAACTGTCCCCCAGGGACCCAACCAAGGTGCCTCTGCAGAAGCCACATTTGAGCCAAGCATTAACAAATGAAGAGGAATTAAGTGTATAGTCAAAGGGAACAGCCTGCACAGAGGCCCTGAGGCAGGAAGGCTTATGGGGAGAACAAAATGTAAGACCATCGTGATCCAGTGTGCATGGTTGTGAGATGATGCGAGAAACTGGCAGGGAACAGAGTGTGCAAGGCCTCTGTACCACAATAAACAGGGTCTAGTGGTACCCACTGGTCATCAGAACAACAGGTAAGAGGGTCCCTGGGCAGGGATATCTTAGGAAGTATCAACTCAGTGGTAGGACATTCACACTTACCTCAGAGACTTCTTACGATGATAAAAGGAGACATGTGCCATATACATGCGGGACGTTCATAAAGTCTCTGGTCTTCATTCCTCGAGTATGAAGACAGTACTGCATCCTAGGGTGAGACAGCCTCTATGTGAGACCAGCGGGAGCCAGATAGAAAGTGTCCTGGAGGGGCCCCCAGGGTGCAGCCAGAATACTGGTGGGCAGAACAGCATGTCGGACTGGGACTGTTTCCCAGAGCTCCGGGCAGCCTTGTGTCAAGACTTCGGCCTGAGTCCCAGTAGTGCTAAGTTTGGGGTACTTAGTCCATTTTGTTCACCAGAATGTCAGAGATGGACAAGCACCCCCACATACACCAGGCCAGTATAGAAGAATACCCATTGGGATTCCCAAAGCGGGGCCGCCAGGTGTATTTGGGGCTATGATGTCCAGTCCTCTGTCCTGCCCCACCCCCAGGGGATATTCTTCTGTCGCCAGCCTCAGAAGAGGGTTTAGTTTATTAAGGAAGTTGGCAGATTTCCTTTCATGGACTTCTCCCTCTGCAGCCCACTGGGTACCACTAAGTAGAGATAAATAGGCAGATGATATGGCCAGGTGTGTGTTGTTTTTGTTTTTGTTAACTTTTTATTGTGAAAGAATTATTGACTACAAGAAGTCACACAGCAGATGACACGATACTGTATATAGAGAACCCTAAAGATTCCACCAAGAAGCCCTGGCCTGTTTGGCTCAGTGGTTGGAGCTTTGGCCCATGGACTGAAGGGTCTCAAGCTTGAATCCTTGTCAAGGGTCCATAGCTGGGTTGCGGGTTTGAGGCCCTGCCCCAGTAGGGATCATGCAGGAGGCAACTGATCAATATGTCCCTTTGACATTGATGTTTCTCTGTCTTCCTCTCTCCCACCCTCCCTCCTTCTCTCCCTCCCTTCCATTCTATCTAAAAATCAATGGAAAAAATATCCTCAGGTGAGGATTAACACACACACACACACACACACAATCTACCACCAAAAAACCTAGAACTGATAATCAGTAAAATATCAGGATACAAAATAAATCAATTGCTTTTTTTATAGATAGATTGGAAGGGAGGGAGGGAGAGAGAGAAGTTTCCCACAGGACCTCAGCTGGGCTAGGGATCAAATCTCAAACCCAGGTATGTGCCCTTGACCCTTCAGTCTGCAGGCTGACCCTCTAACCGCTGAGCCAAACCAGCCAGGGCCAGTTGCATTTTTATACACCAGCAATGAACTGTTAAAAAGGGAAACTAAGAAAACAATCCCATTTACAATTATATTTAAAAAATAGCCCCCAAACCTTAGGCCTAGAATGCAGAGCTGCCAACATAACATTTGCCCCCTGAACAGATGGAGTCAGTCACACTAACACACCTTCCTGTCTCAGCAGCAGAGACATTACTGCCACTCGCTCAGTTGCCGTTGTAAACCCTCAGAGTCAGCTGAACTATTTTAGGGCCAAACATACTGTTTTTGTAAAGTATTTTTCATTAATAAATCTATAAGATACTTCTATTTAAGAAAAAATAAAAAATAAAATACCTAGGAATAATTTCCACGAATGTAAAAGACCTGTACTCAAAAAAATTATGACACTGAAGAAAGAAGATACAAATAAGTGGAAGCATATACTGTTTCACAAATAGAATAAATTAGCATCATTAAAATGCCCACACTACCCAAAGCAATCTATAGATTCAGCACAATTCTATCAAGGTACCAATGGTGTATTTCACAGAACTAAAACAAATACTCCAAAAATTTATATGGAACAAAAAAGACCCCAGATAGCCACAGCAATCTTGAGAAAGAAGAACAACGTTGGAGGAATCATGCTACCTGGTATCAAACTATACTACAAAGCCATAGTAATCAAAACAGCATGGTACTAGACATAAAAACAGACATAGATCAATGTAACAGAATAGAGAGCCCAGAAATAAACCTACATTTCTATGGTCAACTAATTTTGTTGTTGTTGTTAATCCTCACCTGAGAATTTTTTCCATTGATTTTTAGAGTGAAAGGGAGGGAGAGAGGAAGAAAGAAACATCTATGTGAGAGAGAGACATCAACTGGTTGCCTCCCTCATGACCCTGACCAGGGCTGGGGATCAAACCTACAACCCAGGTACATGCCCTTACCCGAGACCCTTTGGTCCTCAGGCTGATGCTCTAACCTCTGAGCCAAACTGGCCATGGCAGGTCAATTAATATTTAACAAAGGAGACAAGAATATACAATGAGGTAAAAATAGTCTGTTTAATAAATGATGTTGGGAAAATTGGATAGAAACATTCAAAAAATGAAATTAGACCACCTTCTTATACCATACACAAGAATAAACTCAAAATGGATTAAAGACTTAAATGTTAAACTCAAAACCATAAAAATCCTATTAGAAAATATAGGCAGTAAAATCTCAGACATTTCTTGTAGCAATATTTTTCTGATATGTCTTCTTGGGCAAGGGAAACAAAAGAAAAAATAAACAAATGGGACTATATCAAACTAAAGAGTTTTTTCACAGCAAAGGAAACCATCAACAAAATGAAAAGACAACCCACTGAATGGGAGAACATACTTACCAATGATACATCTGATAAAAGGTTAATATCCAAAATTAATAAAGAATTTATGCAACTCAACACCAGGAAGACAAACAATCCAATTTAAAAATGGGCAAAGGACCTAATAGACCTTCTCCAAGGAGGATAAATAGATGGCAAATAGACATGAAAAAATGTTCAATGTCAACTAATCTTCAGAGAAATGCAAATTAGAACCACAATGAGATATCATCTCCTACCTGTCAGAATGGCTACCATCAATATATCAACAAACAAGAAGTCTTGGTGAGGATATGGAGAAAAGGGAACCCTCATGCACTGTTAGTGGGAATGCAGATTGGTGCAACCACTGTGGAAAGCAGTATGATTACCTCAGAAAATTAACAATGGGACTGCCTTATGACCCAGCTATTTCACTTCCAGGAATGTATCCGAAGAAACTCAAACACTGATTCGAAAGACTATACACACCCCTGTGTTTATTGCAGCATTATTTACAATAGCCAAGATTTGGATGCAGCCCAAGTGCCCACCAGTAGACGAGTAGATAAAAAAGCTGTGGTACATTTACACAGTGGAATACTACTCAGCCATAAAAAAATTTTAAAAAGAAGGAAATCTTATCTTTTGCAACAACATGAATGGACCTGGAGAGTATTACACTAAGTGAAATAAGCCAGTCAGAGAAAGACAAATACCCTATGAGTTCATTTATATGTGGAATCTGATTAACAAAATAAAACAGGCTAATAGACACAGAGAACAGACTGATAGCTGTTAGAGGGGAGGTGGGAGTTAGGGGGCTGGGTGGAAAATGTAAAGGGATTAAGCAAAAAAATCCCAAAACTCATAGACACAGACAATGGTATGGTGATTACCAGAGGGAAAGGGGAGAGGGTAGGGGAGGTAGAAGAGGGTAAAGTGAAATAAATAGTGATGGAAGGAGACTTGACTTGGGTGGTGAATACACAATACAATGTACAGATGATGTATTATAGAATTGTACACTGAAAACCTATATAATTTTGCTGACCAATGTCATC